TATATATATATATATATATATATATATATATATATATATATATAACAACCAACCAGCATAAAATAACCCTTAAAGAAAAGGAAGCCACTCTACAGAAGCCGCTGTATTCGCCCCACTGTGTCCATTGCAGGTGAGAGCTCTGCATGTGACTCGTCAGGCCATCTCCCGCCCCCGCCGCCGCCGCCGCCGGAGCGTCACGGTAAGTGGCGCCGCCATCTCGCAGGAGAGCCGCAGCACCTCTGAGAGGTCGACGTCAGCGTCGGACGGTGTCCGCCACTCGAACTCGTGCGCCAGCGCCGCCACCCACAACTCGACCGTGGCCATGGCCAGCCCCTTCCCCGGACAGCTCCGCCTGCCGGAGCCGAACGGCGCCAGCCGCAGGTCCGAGCCCATCACCGGGAACTCGGCCGCGCGCCCGCCCGGGGCCAGGAACCGGACCGGGTCAAACCGGAGAGGGTCGGGCCACGCCGTCGGGTCGCGTGCGATGGCCCACATGTTGACCATCACGGTGGTCCCCGCGGGCACGACAGTGCCCCCGCCCACGCTCGCGTCCGATGTGGACATGCGAGCCCACGAGAGAAGCGGGCCCGGAGGGTGCACCCGCAGCGTTTCCTTGATCACCGCCTGAAGGTACGGCAGCGCCCCAGTGGCCTCGGATGCCGTCACCGCCCGGTCCCTCCCCACCAACGCGTCCAGCTCCGCCTGCACCCTAGTTTGCACCTCCCTATGGATCACCAGCCTCGCTAGCACCCACTCTATTAGCACCGCCACTGTGTCCGTACCCCGAAATATCATCTCCTACGCAAATATAAACGACATGAAAAAAACCCTATTAAAACATATATCACTCGATATCTATATTGTTATAGTTTCAAAATTAAAAAAATAAAATAAAACCCCTTAAAAAATAAATTCTGCTTATAATTCTTTTGGGAGGGGTAAGCTTACCCAGAGAACTGCGACCATGTCGGAGTCGGATAACCTATCGGAACCCTGCAGCGACAACAGAACGTCGACGAAGTCCCCCGGGGCGGCCTTCGTGTCCCGCCCGCGCTCGACTCGGTGCTCCTCGATGATGCGGCCCACGAACCGGTCGACTCGGCGGACAAGCCCCGAGCAGCCCGACCGCACTCGCTGCAGGTCCAAGCCAGCGAGCACCGGCAGGTGGTCCGACCAGTTGAGCTTCCCCAGGAGCTCGTAACCTTCTTCTACTAAGCTTCTCAGCTCCTTCAACTCATCGGTCTCTCGCTCGAGGTCGTACTGCTTTCCGAAGACGAACCACATGACGTGGTTCAGGGACGCTTGCTTCACGATCCTGCGGACCTGCACGGGCTCGGATGCGAGACCGTCGAGGGCGCGCACCATCTGCGCGGCGATCTCAGCGCGGTGGCGGCCGAAGGCGAATATCTGCTTGGGGGAGAAGAGGTGGGTGGCCGCAATCCTCCGCAGGTTGCGCCAGTACGCGCCGTAGGGGGCGAAGCCGATGGCGCGGTGGAACATGAGACCGTAAGCTGACTCCTTGGCCGGCCGCTCGGCGAAGTCGGAGCTGTTGAGGATGTCCCTGGCCACGTCCGGGTCGCAGGTGACGACCACCCGGGTTTCACCCAGGCTTAGCGCCATGAGCCGCCGGGCGCCGGGGATGGCGTCCGCGGCGGCGGCGAGCTTCCGGTGCGCGAGGCCGGACATGAGGCCCATGCTCCCGACCACGGGGAGTCCGCTGGGCCCGGGGATGGCACCGCCGAGGCCCCAGGGCCGCCGCCGGCTCCACCAGTACCTTCCCCAAGCGGGGCCGCCGGGGGAGACCCAGTGGAGCAAACCAGTCGCCAGCCAGCAAACCACGACGACGAAAGCGAGAGAGAGAAGGCGGGAGGGGTCTGCGGAGAGCTCACCACATTTGGCGGCTAGAGAGAGTGACACGACCCACCCGCTCTCCACCGCGGATCCCATGATCAGACGTATCTATCAAGTCTGTGAGCAGACCGAGAAGCTCAGCAGGTATCAACAGAACAAGGGGTCCTAGGAGGAGCTATACCTGAGCGTTCGAAGAAGAAGAAGGCCTCAAGCGCCTTATATACACCCGGGAAAGCCCGAGGGAAACAAAGGCATCATAGAAACCAACACGTAGTAACTGTTGAGGAATCTCAGTAAAGTTACCTGAGCCAATACATCCTAGTAATTGGAATCAGGCGCAAGCGCCTGCCTCCATGGGAGGGAGGAGGGTAAGAAGGGAAGCAGTCGTGACAGCGACACGGACGCGGGCGACAACGACAACAGCAAGGGCGGGCGAGGATGCGCGCCACGTGTAGGTGGCGTGGCGGTATACTGTCGGGGCATCAAGGGGTGCGCGCACGTGATTTCCACGCGACCCCACCGTGGCCCATCCCCCAACCCGAGAGAGGGCCCCAGCAGGACCGCGAACGGGCAGAAAGCGACGGGTGGTGACAGGGATGGCGTAATTACAGGGTATATATAACTCTGTTTGGAGAGCCACCGGTGACCGGAACGCTTCATCAAGGAGCAGTGCAGTACAGCGATGGCGGGGTTGGGGTTGCGAGTGTTTTGCAGGGAACGAGGCCATGGACGTTCCCTGGATCTAACAGAGCCACACGTGGGAGCCAGGGGGAGGTGGCAACCGATGAGGCAGGCAACCCATGCTTTTGGTCGTCCGGTTTGATACAAAGAGCAGTGGAGAGTTAAGTAATGCAATAATGGAGGGATAGTGATGGGGATATGCTCTCGCTCAACATTCGATACGCATAAGAAATGTATCCAAGTTGATGGATAGAGAGAGAGAGAGAGAGAGTAGTAAAAGGGACGAGTCAACACAAGAAAAGAAGACGACGGAGGAGTGAGAAGTCCCTGTCGAATGCTCGAGAGAAGAAGTGCAACTTATTATTCTTGACCATATGTTGTTAATGTAGATGAGGGTAGCAGATGCAAGTACAAGGGATTTGGATCCGTAAGAAATGAAAGAACAAAATATTGAATGAAACAACGGTAAATTAGGAAGTATTATTTTGGTGAAGGATGATGATACTAATTGTAGTGACAACGGAAGTCATGATTGTAAAGGTGTGATGATAAGAGAAGCAACCTATGTTCGAGGTGGACTATATGATCTAACATAGTTATTTGTCCTTAGCTCGTGGACTACTTCTTCTCAATGGAGGAGAAAGGGTGACAGGATTATTGCAATTGAGAATATAAAGTGGAATGCACGATTTTGAAGGGACTCTTATTCAAATACTCTTATGTTCTTATTTAGTCAGTCATCATAATAAAATTACGACAAGATTGCACCAAATTAATTTGCAACTTTAATTAAAAAAAACAGTGATGTTGTGTAAAATTAATCAAGAAACTCTTAATTAACCATCCATTAATGATGCTTGGTGTCTCAATTTGCACATAAATAAATAGAATTTCCTTTATTTTTTTTCTTTATTCAGCTTTAGAACTTGTCTCAAATTTGCTATTTTCTTTTTTAAATAAAATATTATTATTACAAATAAATAATAGAATTTACTTTCTTTGTTAACCTTTAGAATTTTTTACAAGTTTACTATCAAAAAATAAATTAAAGCACGAAACTCTCATTTATAATTTTTCAGTGAGTGTGTGGAATTGAAATTTCTGACTACAGTGCTTTGCGAGCCCCCAACTACAACATATTTTTAGAATCATTTGAATGTTCACCAACAAATCGGTGCACCGAACTGTCTTATAGGGAATGAATCCATACAATTAATTAAATTCGATAGATGCATACCTCAGTTTCTATTAATTAAATACAAATAATAATAATAATAATAATAATAATAATAATAATAATAATAATAATAATAATAATAATATGCATCTATGAATTGATACAATTGATTTTTCATATCTTCTATGAAATAATAATACCAACAAAGTTGATATTTAATGTAGAGTCCCTCATGATTAGTGTTAAATAATTAGGGTTGAGATCTCAATCCTAACTTCCCATTTATATACTGCTGCCATCTTGAGGTTACTAGCAAATGCAAAATAGCAAGTTTGTCACTAAACTTGCAGGAATTGTGTTCATGGTCAGTCATTCTACAATATCTCAAAGAAAAGATGTATTATTTTTTATGATCCCTTTATGGTTTATGCCATGCCCTAATCCTCTTGAGTGCTGATTCCACAAGGCCTTGTTCTAAAAACTTCAACTTGTTATCCACAAGCAAGAAACCAGTTCATGTATGCTCATGTATTCTCCATCTGGTATGGAGGGGCATCTAAATTTCAATCAGTCATTGCATGTTGCAGTACATCTGCAAACAAAAACACCTTAAGCCAAGAAAAAATGAGTTATCTTAATCTGCTAGCATTTCCACTGTAATGATTTCTGGTATTTCTATATCTCAACTTGGTTTAGCATATCAAAAGTGTGGCATGTTGAACTGAACTAAGAAAAAAAAAATTGGGAATACAAGTTTATAATGCTGCATTACTTGTGAATTTGAACATCGGATTGAATTGACCATTGTGCCTGTTGGGTCTGGATCTGTCTGTTTCACATTACACGATCCGAAAAAGACATCGCTCGGCTTAGTCGCAAGTCAACTAGATGAGTTTTCTATGATGTTCTTAATAGAACCAAGCAGGAATCATTCCTCATAACAGGACAGCAATAGGTGATGAGCCAACTCCATATGGGGCCTTCCTTGGGCATAAATCAAATGCAGAAGAGAGTGCACGCACAACAAAGGGAAGAAAGGGGAAGAGGGAATTCCATGTGCTAGAGGCAATGAATCAAGATACGACAGCATAGAGCAAAGAAAACTCAAAATGGAGCTATCCAAGATTTTAATGGCTTTTCATTAGATTGGAACCTCTTATGGAACTTGGGATGGGGAGATGGAGATGCCACCTTGTTAATATATTTTAGTTGTTGGTTTCTTGCGTCTTTAGGAAAAAAGAATATACCTATGACTGATGTGATGCAATATCTATGATTCATGGCGAGAATTCTTTGCACCCATCGACTGCAAGGTTGAAGACGCATGATATTGTATGGGTCCTTTGGTCCTTTGAGTTGAGATTGGAGGCTCTTTAGGAACCAATATATCACATCGGTCCTCTGATCATGTGAGAAATGGAGCCCATTCCGACTCCCAAAAGGCACGACATACGTAAAGACCTCCCTCACGATCTATTTATTTTGTTCTCCATATTGAAAGGAAGAGAGAGAGAGAGAGAGATTTGGCAACGCTCAAGGGTCATGTCCATGTAATCTTAAGAGCTCAAGGAAATCTGATGGCTGCAAGATCCATCCAGGATGCAAACATATCTAAAATCACACTGTTGTGTGTATGTGTGAGAAAGAGAGATGCCAATACCTAATTGCCACTCTCTATCTTTGTACTTTCAAGAGCTGGAGGAAAACTTGTGGCTACCAACTTTTCATCTTTTCTTTCGAAGACGAGTTATAAACCTACCTAAATTGCAGCTCCACAATCTATTTATTTTATCATCTACGTATGAGAGAGAGAGAGAGAGAGAGAGAGAGAGAGAGAGAGACTAACTAGCTAGCTCAAGCAAATCTTGAGGTCATAAACAAGAAAAGTTAAAGCCATAACAAAGTTGATGGAAGACTAACAATGAAAGGGACACCACACCGCCAGGAGATTCCAGTGGGCGGGATAGAAACATGTAGTACATCCACGACACAGGGGAGGAGGGTGGTTTCGAGGTGAGAAAGGTAGTAGCAGTGTTTAGAGGTGATCGTTGCATTCACAGAGATGCTACACAGATAGAGACCAGTCTTGCCTTGGACGTGTAGTGCGTAACTTGTTAGATCTCTCAGGTGTAGACTTGTGAGATGGCTTGCGAGATTAGAATGCTGTGTGCATCAAACAATAAGTCTACTACATTAGAATCCTCTAGTACTTGATGTGACACATGCCGCTGACACCAAACCTAATGGTAAGGGGAATTGGATCGTCTTCTCCCCCAGTACATGGTTTATGGCCAAAGTCAACACAGGTAAAGACCAGTTTGGCTGTTAGGTTCCTACCCACATCCAACTATCTATCTTGTTCTATCAATTAATGGCACTTTGGCTACTGCATATGACAGACACCCTTTCTTTTGATAACATTAGTTCCAAACTACCATAGATATGGCATGAAAGGTATGGGAGAGAACAATTATCCCCTTGTTCGTTTTGGTCAAGTGTTTAGATTTACATACACTCTTATATTGTTACATTCTAAGATGATAAATTTGACATTCCTATCCGTCGAGTAAGGGAGGAATCAAGACAGACCTATCTTCTCTATTCTTATGTCACTTTTAGATCTATTCTCATCATTTATTAAAGGAGCAATTACGGATGAGGTCCACTCACTTTCGTCAAATCGAATTGATTTCCAAGTTTGGTGCGTTCAACGCATGAATCAATTATGTTCCGCGATGTTAGGTGTAACATCGAACTAATTCGATCCCCTAACTGAGTTCAAGTTCATCATCACTTTGGATATCAAGGTCTATCTGTCACATTGTCATCCATCAAATCCAAAGAGGTTGACCGGAGCTCCGTGAGTGGGGAATCTAATGCTTTACATGCCAAGAAATGAAAGCCTCCACTGCACGTACGCAGGCGCTCCATGGCCTGGCCTCTTCGGTGCCCTTCACAGCCTTGTATTAGCACAGCACTATTCCTGGTTCTGCTGGACCTGTGCTACTCTCGCAATGTACCTTCCTTCCAAGTGACCCCGAGAGCACACGAACGCAAGCACCAACGACCTGCACATCACCATCCAACCAAAAGGAACATGGCCAGACCATTAAGAGTACCTCTAATGGAGCCTCGCTTGCACCGTAGAACACACATTAACCAGGCTGCAAAGCGAGGGCAAAAGCACATGATACTTGTGATCTTTCGATGGCCTGCAAATGGCGACCGACATGCAGCAGCAACAACAACAGCAGGAATCATTTCGGTGACAGCTGCAAGCAACTCTTTCCAGGCCCTTGTGCTTGTGATGGAGAGGTCGCTTCCCTCAGAGAATGTGTGGCTTGCAT